GGCACCCAGTGCAGAGCGGCCCAGCCAGCCGTGAGCAGTCACTGTGGTGCTGTGCTCCGAGCAGCCAGCGGGCCGCACTTTATTCTTTTATAAAAATGTAATGGTGGGCTGCAAAAAATTTCGATCGGGCTGCATGTGGCCTGGCAGAGGCCTGTCTGACATGTCTGGTCTAAGTCTACCTAAATATTTCCCTTCCAAACGGCACCCAGTGCAGAGCGGCCCAGCCAGCCGTGAGCAGTCACTGTGGTGCTGTGCTCCGAGCAGCCAGCGGGCCGCACTTTATTCTTTTATAAAAATGTAATGGTGGGCTGCAAAAAATTTCGATCGGGCTGCATGTGGCCTGGCAGAGGCCTGTCTGACATGTCTGGTCTAAGTCTACCTAAATATTTCCCTTCCAAACCCAAGTGGTCATACCTCCGAATAGGTTACAAGAACAGAAGTGAGTCTTGATCAGAAGCTTGTCCTGCTTCTCTCTCTTTTGTGGCCTGTGTTATAGGCAGAGGATGTTGGTTTCTAAGCTAGAGCTCTTCAGCGGGCACTAAGGATGTTAAGATGGGATTCTCTGGGTAATTGTATAGTCGATAAGCGCTGCTATGTAGCTGCAGGAGCTGGCTCCAGAGCCACCCGTGCTGCGGCTCTGCATTGTAAATATAGTAAGAGCTGCTGGGCTCTTACTACATTTAAACTGCAGAGGCGCATTGATCAGCGCATGCCGGGACTGCTTGGTCCCAGCTTGTGTGGAGTCCAGCGGCCCCTGTTTGTGGCGAACAGAGGCTGATGCCGGACCAGCCCCTGTTCAGAGTGGACAAGGCTGGCCCGTCCATGGCCAGCCCTGGCTGCCACGAACAGGAGATGGTGGCGGAGCAGTGTCTGTTCATGGCTGCCACGTACAGAGACTACTCCAGCACCAGCCCCTATTGGCAACAGCCAGGGCTGGCTACAGACAAGGGCTGCTTGGTGGCAATAGCTCCCCGCTGGGACTTCCCAGCAGCATCCCCTATTTCCCCCCACCTCTGATAGAAGCAGCAGGCAGCACCCTGGAGGCTAGTGCTGGGGGGAACCGGCTTTTAAGCTGTCTCCCCCCAGCACTGGCTCCTGCCCCCCAGGCAGCAAAGCGGGGGACACCACAGAGAGCACAAGGTGAGCAGGGACTGCTTGAATCCTTGCTCACCCAGTAGTGATCCCTGTGGCTCTTGTACATTTCAAAAGCATAAGCACCGACAGTGGGGACTGAAGCAGTCCCTGTTCGCACCGTTTCCCTGCTGTGCCTCTGCCTGTCCTGCCCCCCATGGAGATGGTGCTGGGGGGAACCAGCTTAAAGCCGGTTCCCGCAGCACCAGCTCATGCTCCTCCCTCCATTGCTGCCTCTCTCTGATAGAGGCAGCAAGTGGGGGAGGGAAGCGACTAGTCGAGTGGCTACTTGACTCTCTGATAAGCGAATGCTAGTCGACAACATCCCTAACAGGCACCATTAACAAGTATTAAAATCGCTTTTGAAAAATTCCATCCATACCAAGGGAAGCACTGCTGAATGCTCCCGCTGTTTAGGCTGCATATTTGAGCAGCTTTTCCTCTACTGATGGTGATTTAAACTGGTGAAATTCACTTTTGTAATTCATTTTTGCACAGGAAAAATAGTTGTGTGTTATGTAATCCTGATTGCTTTGCTTTGTTTCCTGCCTGGTTTGTAACATTATAGTGAGTACTTTCATAAAAGCGCATTTTAGGAACAATTGCTGTAGATTTTCAGCATTGTTTAAATGGACTTAGTTGTGTGTGATGAGCAGCAAACTTTTGGCCAGGCACAAAACTCCATTTCAATCTTCCTTTCTTCTCCATTGCAGGGTAGAGTTCACAGTAGGGGACAAGCCCATTAATAACTTCCGCATGATTGAGAGGCACTACTTCCGGGATCAGCTGCTCAAAAGCTTTGATTTTGAATTTGGGTTCTGCATCCCCAGCAGTAAAAACACTTGCGAACACATCTATGAATTCCCACAGCTCTCGGAGGATCTCAGTAAGTTCTTGCAGTCTGAGTTGCCAGCGAGGGACAATAAACTGAGGTATTTTAGAAGACTCAGTCCCAAAAGGAGCGATGTATTAAGTGGGAATGGGAGAATACAAAAGCATCTTTGTTAATAGAGAAATCACATTCTTGTTCCACAATCACTGGTGAAATGGATGGGCTTGTCTTTCTTATCCATAGAAGTTGGTCCAATGATAAATATTACCTCACCCACCTTATGCCTTTACTTTAGGGTTGATGCAGCTACATTTCATTTTGTGCTGCATTTTTAGAATTATTCCCATCAAACTGTGAAGACCTAAGTGGATCATTCAACATTGCTGTATAACTCAGTGAAACTTAGCTTCATTAATCAAGATTGTTGGAAACTAGGTGTATATGATTTGGCCCCAGTCCTGAGGGCTTTAGCTATCAGCAGAAGAGTAACTCTGTGCTGATAAGAGGTTGTATCTTTGAGGGAGATAATAGTTTGCAGCTAAAGGAATAAATCACAGACGTTCATGAGGGACTCAGTGGCTGATTTATACAAAGGGATGCAGCAGTGATTTTTTGCTGACTGCATATCATGCCAATCAGAGAATCATAGAATACTGGAACTAGAAGGGACTTCGAGGAGTCAAGTCCAGTTCCCTGAACTCATGGCAGGACCAAGCACCATCTGACAGATGTTTGTCTGACCTGCTCTTAAGTATCTCCAGAGACGGAGATTCCACATCCTCCCTGGGCAACTTATTCCAGTGTTTAACCATCTGACAGTTAGGAAGTTTTTCCTCATGTCCAACCTAAACCTCCCTTGCTGCAGTGTAATCACAACTACACTCATGACGCTGCCATGAACTTTCTTTAACAAATTTCTCAGCACTCTATGTGTGAGCTGCTTAGATATTATGAGCATGGGGGTGGGGGAGGACACAGGTAAGTACCTAAATAGGACAATTTCTCTTGCTTTGGGATGACCATTAGTTGTGACCTGGACAACCATGTAAACTGTCCCTTTACACATCCTGGTATAACTGCTGAGGAAAACACCAGATGTACAGTCTCTCTTGATAATTTTTTGTGTTTTCTTCACATAATGTACAACTTCTTTTGCAGTTCGAGAGATGATCCTTCACCCCTATGAGACGCAGTCGGACAGTTTCTACTTTGTAGACAACAAGCTGGTGATGCACAACAAGGCAGATTATTCATACAGTGGAGGACCATGAGTACCGAGTGGACAGCAGAGCTGTGTTGGCCTTTCCTTTCCTGTAGAAATTGTCAGGGATTCTTCCACCTTCCTGCTTTTGACTTCCAAGGTCAGCTGAGCACAGGTCCATGATCCAAGGACTCTTTGTTGTAGTAGGAGTTTCATGACTAAACTTGTTGAAGTCTTTCATCTTCCCTGAGCTTTGAAGCAGAACCCTGTTCTTCAAGAATGCTAAATACAATCCCACATGAATGAGTGATCTTTGGTCACTGGAGTCTAAGGCTTTTTAAATAGCTCTGCGTAAAAATGGCCTGATACATCATCTAGTTAATACCAAACCAGGAATTCTGTGCCCAAATTCTCCAGATTTGTGTTTCCATTATTAAGCATATCTTTGCACGATTGCTCTATCTTAGAATGTGGTGTGGGAGAGCCTGTGAACAGGCAGAAGTCTAATGCAAATACAGAGATGCATATCTCTATCTGATCTTGTGTATGAATGCTTCAAAGGGCACAGTTGTAACCTTAACTTGATTCGTACACCCACCTAAAATTTGGATCCTGTCTTTCCTCCTGAGAAGCAAAATGTAAGTAGGATTTAGAGAGAGCTTCTCTATATCTATAACTCAGCAAATGTGTTTTCCCTCCACAGAGCATTTCCTGTTGGAAACAATGAAACTCACACTGAAGGACAGTAATTCAATGATGGGCCTGTTTTCAACTGCCCTTTTTTCTGCCTCTGTTAGCAATCTAGTCTTGAGGGTCTGCAAGTCCCCAGAAACGTTGTCCTCTTTCATTTCAGCTTGTGTGTTGTTTTTGCTGATTCATCCAGTCAAGAAGTAGATATGTTTTTTAGTTTAGCTTGTCATTATCAGTTAATGTTCAGTCTATGCCTAATGTAAGCTTTTCTGAGTCTAATTTCTTCTTTAGCTGCCTGTATAGAAGTGTACTGAGATAAGATGCTTCAGTATGGGTTGTCTTAGGAAAGTAGTTTCATTTGTCCAAGGTTATCAGAGTGAATGGGCTTTCTGGTTTCTTGTTTTGTGTGTAAATTTAAAGCATTTTATGGTAATATGTTTGTTTTTTTCTTTTGTCCCAAACTTTTGGGACCAGCTATTAATTCCTAATAGGCAGTAAGTTTGAAAGTATGGATCCTACACAGTCACTGTACAAAACAGTTTATCCAAAATGATGGTTCCGCTTCCAGTCCTGCATAAGGAGTTTAAGAACTGTTTTGCACAAGTTTCTAATGGGTATGCTGCTCTTTGGAGCTAGGAAGTAGAAAGGAGAGGCAAAAGCAAACTAACAAATCACAGAGAGTGTCTGCTGTATTATAACAATAGAATCTGCTGTACTGTACACTGATGAAAATCTGTGAAAAGATCCAACAAAGACAAAAGCTTTCTTCCTTTTGGAGGTGATTTGTAGTCATGAAACCCTCATAAAAAAGTTTGGTTCACTGGTATCAGAAAAATAAAGAATTGCAGTTTATAGCTATTTCTATGAATACTTTGTTTTCATGTCTATTTTTGAGAGTTAAATGGAGCTTTATGCATTAGCCACCAATACTGTAATAACTTTTAAAAATATACCATTTTTAGTTCCTAACACCTTTTCTCCAGTGAGTCTAATCAAAGGAGGAGAATTGCAAACCATTTCAAATGCAGCCATCTGCCCTCGGGAAGCGAGGCCTTGTCTGAGAGCTGCCATCAGTGAGATTGTCAGCAAGGGTCACAACACAAATCATTGTTAATTTAAAAAAAACACCTTACAACTGTACCCAAAAGTGTGTGTTCACATTCACTGCTAGAACAAATAGTAAATACTACCCCTATTGTCATCACCCCTTCTTTGTGCTGTATCAGACTGCAAAATCGGCCCGGAGCTGACTTATTTGTTTTAAGATGGTTACAAGTTTTCCCAATTATTTTTCTATTAGAGACTGTTCAGTCATGTATAAATCATCAGAAAATTAAAAATAGTTTACAAAAAAGTCAGACAAATTAATTTTTGTATAGCTGGGCTTTTAAACTGTCTTGCAAATCAAGAGAATTTCCAAACTTATGCAAATACTGAACAGTTTATGAAAGTCAGTATGTACTAATATATAAGAAAATACATGTTATAATTTCCATTTACTCATATCTTCCTTCACTCATTCATTGTTCATATTAACCTCTTTTGTGCTTAATAATAATACCAGGTACATGCAGCAAGTGTGCCCACCCAGCATTGCCAAACACATGTTCCAGGAGCAGTGAGTTAAAATGTCGCATATTATAAACATCTCAGTCCACTGCTGTAAGAGTATCAGTTCCCTGTCACCTTTTATCCCATCTTTTCACTTATTGGGATTGCAATAATCCTTTTAGTATGTGATATTGTAATGAGACATTTGGAAAAACTCAAATTTCATCAATCTCCTGCTTTTTACACTCTTTATGCTACCTCGTGTTGCTGTTTTTAAATATTCCCTTGAAATGTTGTTTGATAGGTTTAAAAATGACAGATCTTTTGAAATAGTTAAACAAAATATGCTGTGGTTTTGCCTGCCTTTATCAAATTCTAGGAACAAAAATCTGGAGAAAGGTGATTGGTTCCCAGCAGTGCAATAAGTTATAGAATGAGCTTCTTGGTATGTTGCGTTTTATTGCAAATGGGAGATTAAGTGTAAAAAAGAATGAAATATTCATGACAGTTCTGGGACTGAATTCTGGCAAACTGTGAACACAACTCAAATTCAGGGGGTTATAGTTTCAGGCTAGAAAAATCCAATCATGATTTCTATATAAAAGTTTAACAGGCAGTCTGTTTCCCCAGGCCTATAAATAATAATGCTGATATCCTTTAAAAGAGAGGAGAAAATTTCCCAACCAATTAATCGAGTAAATTACTTGAGCACCTTTTGGCTTTGGGCTTATGTTGGCTGCTTTGTAAGTAGAGCCCTATCAAATTCACAGTTCATTTTGGTCAATTTTATAGTCGTAGGATTTAAAAAAAATACATTTCATTATATCAGCCATTTTAATCTGAAATTTCCCAGTGTTGTAATTGCAAAAAAGAAGTTGGGGGCAGGGATTTGCAAGGTTTTTGTAGGGAGATTATGGTACTGCCACCCTTACTTCTGTGCTGCTGCTGGCAGCAACAGATGGGCAGCTAGAGAATGATGGCTGCTGGCCTGGAGCCCAGCTTGGAAGGCTGTGCTGCTGCTTCTGGCAGTGCACTACCTTCAGTGCTGTGCACCCAGCCAGCTGCTGTCATTCTCTGGCTGCCCAGCTCTGCAGATAGCTAAAGCTGGCAATAGTGGGACCTCCCAGCAACTCCCTTTTGGGTCAGGATCCCCAATTTAGGAAATGCTGGTCTCCCCCCATGAAATCTGTACAGTATAGTCAGGGCCGGATTAAGGGGGGGGGGGCTAGCTGGGCACCCCTTACAGCTACCATCAGGCGCCGCATGCCCAGGGCCGGGGACCACGCATACGCCATGCACCGGAGGGCGGGGGCTGTGCATGCGTCACGCGCCTGCTGCCCGGGGCGCAGGAATGGCTCGAGCCGGCCCTGAGTATAGGATAAAGTACACAAAAGACCAGATTTCATGGGAGAGACCAAATTTCAGTCCTTAACATATTTTTCATGGCCGTGAATTTGGTAATGCCCTATTTGTAAGTTGTTGGGTTTGTTTTTTTTAATCGAAGGGGGGAGGGAGGGAGTCAAAGGGACATGACAGCCTGTGATACACTTATGAACTCTTTAGACCAGTATGATGCTTTCTGGAGAAGTATAACAAAGGCAGAATTTTCCAGTTGACTGGAATAAATATTCTGTAAGTGCAAACTGTTTTTTATTTAGAGAGCTGTATACTGTCAAATTGTTTCCAACTTTTACATCTAAGATTAATACAAAAAGAAAAAGGCCTTAGATAATGGACAGATTCCATTTCTGCTCTGGCTGCTCATGCAGAAGTATGCTGTGTAATGCACGTGATATCTATGAAATATACATGGAAAAATGTCTGGAAGCTTTCCAATACATTCATTGTGTTAGTGTCATTTTATGAGGAAACTTATTTATTTGTCTTCAGATGAGAGGAAAAATTTGTTTAAGAAATTTGTTACAAAATAAGCCCCAGAAGGACATCACTTTTTTGAGATGTGAAGGAAATAATCTGGGCGTAGGAGATTATTTTAAAACTAAATGTTTATAAGATGCTGCGTGCCTTCTACTACTAGTGGCTTGAATAGGAATTAAAAGCACTTGGCACCTTTCTAGAATTAGGCCCATGACTTCTTTTTAAAATTGATACCTTATTTTTGGCAAAAAGTAGAATTGCAATTAAAAACATTTTTTCATTGTTCCTAGAATGCTCTTCAGTAGTCTTTCCATGCAGCTGTCACTCTGTGTATTTAATATTAATCCATGTTGGGCTTTCCTTTTTGTACAGTCTCTGAATCCTAGCTTTCCAAATGTGTACTGCATTCACTTTAACTCAACAGGACAAGACAGTTCACCTTCAAATTGTACCCGCTTCCCCACTTCCACTGTATTGAGAACTCTATGTATGACAGTACTGTTTGGGACCCTAGTTTGCAATGGTATAAAGGATTATCTCTAACTTCATGTCAGAAGTGAAGTGAGGATAAAAGAGCAAGAGAGGTAATCAAGATGACCAGCTTTTAGAGATTAGATGTTCCTTATTACAAATATATCATGGCTTTTATTATTTGTTGAATTAATTTTGTAAACCTCTTTTTACTCTCTGGGATCACACATTAATATTTTACCTCCACTGTTGTTCACTTAAGTGAAGATTAAGCTGGTCAGAGTCCCTGCTCTGGCTAACATTCATAGACTTTAAGGCCAGAAGGGACCCTCGTGATTACCTAGTCTGCCCTCCATTGACATAACTCTTCTTGTAGTAAATTATGTCTCAATTTAGTTATTCTAAGTGGACAAAATATTGGACTTTATCTCTTTTCTAGGTCTTGATAATGTAAGTTCCTTGGAACTATAGGGATGTTCTCAAATAGTTAATTCAACTGCAATAGTAACAAATTAACATCTATACTATATGGTCCAATATTTAATAGATTGCTAGACTAGAAATGTATTATTACACCGGACAAATGCTTTCAAGACCATTGAACCAATAACCATAAAGAGATAAGATTTCTGCAAATTCACTATATATCCTTTGTGCATTAATTGAATATTCCATGTCGTCATTGACTGGGGAAATTTTTTGAGCCTGATTAAATGTAGGCAGTCTCTTGATTTAAAGATTAAAGACAAACAACTGGTATGTTAATGTTCTTGCTTACAATCTCTCTTGTATTACAGCTTTCTTGTATAAGCAGATCAGTAGGATGGAACTGGTTGGCTTCTCTGTCAGCCATTTGGGTCCCATTGAAAATGTTCATATATGGTAGCAAAATTGCAACCTGCAACTGCACATATCTTTAATATAGCAATGCAGGCTAAATATCCTGACAGACTTCATCTTAGTCCATACTATCTACACATGCATCAAGGAGGGAGCACAGTTTATCAGAACCTGGTCTCCACGGTTAAACATTTGTTAAAGTAGGAAGCAAATGCAACGTGCTCCATTTTATGCCAGTGAGATACAACCATAGGGCTTAGGGAAGTGGCCGATGCTGTTGTAAAGCTTGAACACCTTGAGCTACAGGTTGAACCTCTCTAGTTTGGTACTCTGTGGTCCGGCAACATCCTTGGTCCAGCATGATTTGAATTAGCCAGATGTCCACTTACCAAGGGTGTGGTCAAGTTTCTCATTGTCCTGTTAAGTTTGTTTACAGCCACCAGTCCTGGCTCTCAGTGTTCTGTGCTGTTGTTTAGCTCGAATTTACCCCCAAAATGTCTCCTAAGATCCCAGTAAGCAGTGGCAGTGTTGGCAATGCTGCTAGACAATATTGATCTCCTGTGGTTCAGCAAATTTTCTGGCTTGGCACTGGTCAGGTTCAGAATTAGGGAGATTTAACCTGTATTATAAAAGACTGTGTGTGGGTGTGTGGGCTTTTCTGTTGAACTATCCTTAGATTGTGAACAGTTGGGGGTAGGAACTCTGTTTAAACAGCATCTATCGTTTAATTCATACTCCTGTACTAGAAATGACATTCAACTCCATGCTTCACACGTATTGTAAGACTAACATGTTAATAAATATTTGTAATCTGTGTGAGTAATTGAATTGGTAAATAGCTCCAGTTAACCAGGTCTGACTAGGAACTGGATTCCAGGAACCGGAGCTACCTACCACTTGAAAGAAACAGAAGTTGAACAGCTGAGAAACTACATGGTAGATTTTGGTTAACTGGGGCTAAGAACTTGTAAGGTCCTGACAGCTTTAAATAATTTTCTGTTAAATGAAGAAAACTTTGGCTTATGGCTTATGTTAGCGATTGTTTTTCTAAACCCCAAATGTAAGTACTGTGAAGTTTGCATACATGTTTTAATTTTAAATCAGGTTTTTACTTACAT